AGTGGGCATGCGCACAGAGCGGAGCTTGGTGGGAAATGTAGTTCGAAGGGCGGAGCGCAGCTGAGAGGTTTTTTTTTCCTCCTTTAAATAGGCAAATTGAAAAAAAGGGGGTGGCTGCTTCTCAAAATAAGAGGATGCATGTATTTTTTTTCTCTATTGATCTTTTGCTGGATGGACCTCACGCAAGCTTGGACCAATTGTTTCAGTTTCCTGATTTTTTTTTTTTAATTACTAAAAGTAGATGGTTTTCTTAATACTCTGTTAAATGCAACTTTAGTGCCTGCATTTTGTGAAGAATGGGAAATTATAGAGGTCCATCTATAGCGTGATTCCATGCAAGTTAACTCAGGAGTAAGCCCCACTGTGTTCAGTTAAATTTACTCCCAGGTAAATTGTTTTTTCACCGAAGATAAATTCCTTGTTATTTTAAAGTATTCTGTATTCTGTATATGTAAGTATGTCCTATGATTGCCGCTTTTATTTCTCAAAATATTGCTGGACCTCATTCAGCTGAAAGTCTTCTTTTGCTAAGCATTGTTTTTTACTTTCTTGGAGAAAAACTGCATTATTAATGTAGGACAATAAATAATATTCTGGTCATAACTCAGAAATGATTGAAAAATACTCTGAATATGCTTGTAAGCTATTAGTTACAGTAACAGTACAAAATACATATTCAGGCTATGTATGAGGTAACTTGAGCAAAAAATAAAATGAAACTGAGTTGGATTAATAAAGATACTTCCTTGAAATGGATTTTAAGACTTTTTTTCCTTATAGCCAACATAGTTACATAAACCATGGCTTCTGTTGCGTGAACCTAGGCACCGTGTGTCTTTATACTTAGACTAGGCTTGCAAACATTAGGTTTGCCATAAGAGACAATATGATCTGGTAAATGTTGGTGTTGTGGCATATGGCAGGCCTACCTCTTCAAGTGCTGTTGTGCCCCACCTCATTATGGAGTGTGTGTGGGGTGTGTGTGTTCCTGAGAAGGATGAGCAAAAAACACAAGGGGTTTATGCTAAGAGTATGTAGTCCCAGCAGGGTCACCCTAGGTGTGAAGATCATCCCAGCTGCCCAGCTAAACCAAGCAGGCACCTATCTTGGGCAGCGTGATATAGGAAGAAGCCAGAGGCAGATGCTCACTTTAGTGATAATGGCAAAGCCATCAATTCATACTGAGCAGGAGAAGGCAATGGTAAACCACTCCTGTATTTTACCAAGAAACCACATGGAGAGACAAGGCAGACTATATAGTGCTGGGTGATAGGCCCCTCAGGTCAGATGGCACTCAACGTGCTACTGGGAAAGAGCTGAGGACCTTTTGGAGTCCTAATGGTATTTATGACATGACTAGATTAAAGCCCTTGGGATGTCTAGTTGCTGACATTGCCCTGCAGGAAAAGAAAATCAGAAGCTGCAAAGAGAATTACAGTGGGAACATGGAATGTAAGCAGCATGAAGATGGGAAAGCTCAACACGGTGAAAGACAAAATGAATCAACTGCACATTGACATCTTAGGCATCAGCAAATTGAGATGGACTGGAACTGAACACTTTCAGTCAGAAGATCATACTGTTTACTACTCAGGACATGAAAAATAAAAAAGAAGGAGTGGTATTGCTTTCATGGTCAGGAAGGATACAGGAAAGACAGCACTTGGCTATAATCAGTCAGTGACTGAATAAAATCAGTTAGACTCCATGGACAACCCTTTAAAATTCTCCAAGTTTATGCCCCAACTGCTGACGCAGAAGAAGAGGAGGTTGATGAGTTTTATGGTCAAGTTCAATCTGAAATCAACAGAGCATGCAAGCAAGATGTGCTGCTTGTGGTTGGAGATTGGAATGCCAAAGCTGGAAATATTAAAGAGGAAAATGTACTGTAGTTGGACTATATGGCCCAGGAAACAGAAATGAAGAAGGGAAACAACTTATCAGCTAATCCAATTATTTCATCATTACTAACAGAGTTTTCAGATAACCAAAACAATGCCTATATAGTTGGACATCATCAGATAGAGTGCACAGAAAACAAATTGACTATATTATTGGTGCAGGAAGGTAGAAGAGTTTGGTTATAACCATGAAGGTGCGGCCAGGGGCTGACTGTGGAACAGATCATGAACTGCTTGTGTGCAAATTCCAAGTTAAGCTAAAGCAGCAGAAGAAAGCCAGCCAGTGTTCACAATATGATCTTGACCATATATCAACAATTTTCAAGGAGAACATCAGGTTTTGCTTTGACGTCCTGAACTTCATTGATAGGGAATCAGAGGAACTGTAGAATTAAATCAAAGAAATTGTTAAGGATGAATGTGAAAGTAGATGGCAAAGACCAAGAAAAGAAAAAAGCAAACTGGGTGTCAGACCATATGGTGGAAATTGCCAAAAACAGAAGATGCTAAAACCAAGAAAGATAAAGGTCTCAGAAAGGAACTTAACAAAGAATGTCAGAGAGCTGTTAGAAGAGACAAGAAATAGTATTACAAGGATATCTGAAAAGATATCAAAGATGGAAACAGTCATGGAAAAACAAGGAAAACATTCCGAAAAATCTCTGAATTCAGAAGGAGGTTCCAACCTCAGATTGGTATAACAGATACCAATAGATAGATAATAACTGATTTCAGGAAGATCAAACAAAGATGGAAGGAATATGCTGAAATTGTGTACAGTGGAGATGTCAACACCCAAGATACCATTCCCTGCTTACAAGAACCTCTGCTACTAGAAGATGAAGTTAGATCAACACTCCAATCATTATCAGATCAGAAGATTACAGGAATTTATAGAATGTGTACAGAAATATGGCAAGCAACAGAAGAAGAAGCTGTAATATTTCTAACCAGTTATGCCAGCAAATCTGGAGAATGACACAGCGGCCAACGGATTGGAAGAGGTCTACATACCAATACCCAAAAAAGGAGATTTAACAGAATGTGCATACAATCATATCATATCCTTAATTCCGTATGCTAGCAAAATAGTGATTAAGATCATCCAATGCAGATTAGAGCCCTACATGGAAGAAGAGATGTCAGATGTTCAAGCTGGATTTAGAAAAGACTAAGGAACAAGAGACATTATTGTTGATACATGCTGGATAATTGAGAAGGCCAAAGAATACTTTGTAGTCAATGTGTGCTTCATTGATTATAGAAAGGCCTTTGTTTGTGTCAATCATGCCAAGCTGTGGTATGTGCTTAGAAAAGTGGGAATCCCAGAACATCTCATTGTCATCATGTAAAATTTATACACAAGAGAGAAAGCCACAGTAACGGATGGAACATGGCGAAACAGACTGGCTCCAGGTTGGCAAAGGACTGAGACAAGGCTGTATACTCTCCCCTCATTTATCCAATTTATATGCTGAATATATATTGAGGAATGCTGGATTGGAAGAAGATAAACTTCGTTTTTAGTTTGGAGGAAGAAACATCAATAACCTGTGTTATGCTAATGTCACTACTCAGGTGAAAATGCAAATGATCTACAAGCTCTAGTAATAAAATTCAAGGAGCACAATGAAAAAATGGGACTAAAATTAAATATAAAGACCAAACACATGACAACAGGTAGAGCAACCAGCTTTAGAATTGATAATGAAGATGTTGAGGTGGATAACTTCTGCCTTTTAGGATCAGCTATCAACAATAAAGGAACCAGCAGTCAAGAGATACACCGCAGACTAGCCCTTGGTAGAAGAGACATGAAGGGCTTTGAAAAGATATTCAGATGCTGTGATGTGTCTATACCTACAAAGAGCAATGACACCCTATTGACATGAAAGTTGGATTTTGAATAAGCAGGACAGAAAGAGTATTGATGCTTTTGAACTTTGGTGTTGGAGAAGACTCTTGAGAGTTCCGTGGACAGCCAAGAAAACAAACCAAAGGATCATTGAACAAATCAACCCAAAGTTCTCCCTTCAGGCACAAATGACCAGGCTCAAATTATAGTACTTCATTTTTATATAAATGTTATTAAAAGTTTTAAAAAGATAAAAACTAATAAAAACTAATATAAAGTAAGAGAGAGAAGAAAGGAAAAGAGAAAGAGGAAAGGCAAAAGTGCAAAAAGAAAAGATGAAAAGAAATATAAAGCAGAAGCTTCCAGTTTTCTTTGCAGCAGATACAAGTATGATTACAAAATTGTCTCTTACTCTATTGTTGCAAAAAGAAAAAGCTCTTTTTTTCCTATTATCTACTTTTTTTCCTAACCACTAAAACCACAAATCATCAGTTCATTTTTTTCTGTTTCATGCAGAAGATCTATAAGGGGTTTCCTGTCAGCAATAAATGTAGATATTGTCTTTTCTCTAATCAGGGAATTCAGTTTAGCCATCTCTGCAAGTTCCATCATCTTCACCAACCATTCCTCTAAATTAGAGTACTTTAAACATATTATGCAAAGATTTAGCTCTCTGGAGAGGCTCTGATGCTGGGAAAGGTGGCAGGAAAGAGAAAGGATGACCAGCAACAAGGTGGATGGACTTAATCACAGCAGCAATGGGTGCACCATTGGAAGACCTGAAGAACCAGATTGGAGAAGATCATTCTGGAGCAGTGTTTTGCAACCTTAGCAACTTTAAGATGAGTGGACTTCAACTCCCAGAATGCCCCTATGCTGGTTGGGGAATTCTGGGAATTGAAGTCCACT